CCCATTCATTACCTTGGGGGTTAGCCGAGCTGAACAGGGCCTGCAGGTCTTTCTTCTGCACCTTGGGGAGACTCTTGATGTAGTTTTTGGCCTGAGGAGAGAAGGGGAGCAGGGTTGAGAGTCTGAAGCGCCAGTGCAGGTCGTGTTCCAGAGTCATTTTGCTCTGGCCGCTTCAGAGCTCGGGAGCGAAGCAGGGCCGGGCCTCAGAGACCTCAGAAGGAAAGAATCAGATGGCACCAGTATCGAGACCTGGCACACTGTGCTGGAGGAAACAGTCCCTCAGATGAGGTATTAAACCAGTGTTCGACGGCCCGGACACCACTCTTTAGAGTACTGCTTCTAAAGAGTAGGGGCATTAACCCCAGTATATAATCCACTCTGGTCCTGCCCAGTCTGGTCTCCCAGAGGTTCCCCTCACGTCTCCCGATGGGCTGTGCAGCAGGGCTGCAGGTGCCGAATGGCCGCCCCGCGTCACCCGGTTGGCGCAGGAGGCAGTGGGTCCCCTGGTGTATGGGGGGCTGCTCTTCGGGGTCCTTCGGGAGAGAGTGCGTCTCACCCATGCAGTAACCCTGCCATCTCCGTGTCTCTGGAGCTTATGAAGCCAACCCACGTGCTGAAAACTGCTCTTCGGAGCAACAGTGCAAAACTGGACCATGGAGAATAACCCCCATGTACTACAGCAGCACACACAAGAGGGCGCCACATCTTCCGATGTCCCCCCCCAGACACACTCGGGTATACAGTGATATCAGTTCTTTTTTGGGCGTGTTGTCTTCATCAATGGGAACACATTCCTATGCCCCATTCGTAGGTACAATAAATATAATTTCTCCATAGTGTTCATGTTTCACAACACTTGTTTGAACAGAACAGCTAATGGTCAATATCCCGTGTATCTTCACTGCAACTCACTTCCTGGCTCTGCAGTTTGCCGACGAAGTCCTGGGTGGGCGTGCCCGTGACCTTCATTATTTCTGTCAGCTGGTCCAAGTCTGCGGTGCTAGAGTCAAGGGTCAAAGGTCACAGCACTGAACACGTCTCCAGCACGAAGTTCTAGCGACAAGCACGCAGAGCAGACAGTACAGTCAACAACGCACTCGGCGCTATACGAGAGAGCAGAGCACGGCAGCAGTCAACAGCTTAAAGGATACGATCGTTGCCCTTGAAGAGGGGTTTTCCTGAGATCATCTCCGCCATGATACAACCCACTGACCAGATATCCACTGGAGAGAAAGAGGGGAAGTAGGGGTTAGAGACGTGAGCCTGATCGCTGCAGTACGACTGCCCGCCCCTCTCTTCAGCGTGTTTAGGGCACGCCTGTCCGTCCGTGTTACCTGTCTGCGTGTAGTGCATCCAGTTCAGAATGACCTCCGGCGCCCTGTACCAGCGGGTCACCACGTAGCCCGTCATCTCGCTGTCCGTCTGCCGAGCCAACCCAAAATCCAGGATCTGGGGGGAGGGGAGAGGTTTGGGAATTCTGCAG